AATAAATAGAATAATAAATAAAGAAAGTATCAGATTAATTAAATAATTAAAAATTGATATTGACAACATTAAAGAATCTAAAAACCTTGTTATAAAAAAACATGATGGATGTCATGGAATACTCTTCAATCACGATCAAACATACTCAGTAGAGCTGCTTGAAGTCACAACAGAAACATACTCCGTAGAGCTACAAGAAGAAGACTCAGAGATTAGTCTCCTCTCATCTTGAAGAAGATGAAGACGATTGTGATTAGTCTCCCCTAAGCCAGGAAGAATGAAGCTATTCTATTAATACTTATTTAATTGCTTTTTATTTTATGACTTATATTTGTTAAATAATACTTAACTTCTTATTTTAAAATAATTACTTTTTACTTTATTAGTTTGATAAAGCTATTTTGAATAAACCATAATAAAAATGAATTGAAAAATATAACCAAAATTACTAACAACAGGTCAGACGTTAATTATTGTAAGAATTTGAATGGTCTTTCCTTTTGGGCAGCAACTTTTGGTGCAGTAACAACATCAGCTGGAATTTCAACTTTAACAGCTTCAGTAGATGGTTTAACGGCTTGTTGTTTATTAGTTTTCTTAACGACTCTCTTTGGTGGAAGTCTATTTCTTCTATCAGTTCTAGATCTGACTCTAACAACTCTTCCGTGAATACCACATGAAACACAATATTCTAATTTCATATATGTTTTTGGTAACTTGTATTTAGTAAGAGCAGAATTATCAGAAATATCACGGACGGCAGCAGCTTCAACGATATTTTTAATTTGATATCTTTTGATAGCCTTATCTTTTGGTACACATCTTCCGCAATGACTACATCTAACATTTTGAGTGTGTCCTCTTCCCTTCTTAGATCTTCCGTTGTTTCTTCTCTTAGAAGTCATGCCTGTACGAATATTAGATGATTTTTTTTTTAAACCCTTGATATAATTTCTTTTAGTTTAATTATAATTTCTTTTAGTTTTAGTTATATATTTAATACTTTTAGTTTATTTTATTTATTTTAAAACTATTGTTTTTATTCATTTGTTTTAGTTCTTTATTATTCAAAGAAGAATTTTTATTTGATGACTGAACGAAATATACTTTCGATTGGAGTTGATTTGTCTTCTCAAGATTTTGATCTTGTAGATATCTCAAAGAAAAGTGATAAGATTCTTCAATCTTTTTCATTTATTTCTGTTCCTTTATCATATGAATTTGATGTGAATGATCAAGAAGAACAATTTCAACCAACATTTTCTGATAGTTATTTAGATAGTTCTGTTGTTTCTACAAGGTGGTTTGGTAAATTGTCATTATTTGATTGTTCACGTTCATTAGAATATTTATATGAAGAATTACAATGGGTAAATCATATTAGGTTGCCATGTATTATTATTCCTGAAGATGAGTCTTATTCAATAGAATATATAAAATGTATTAATACTATTTGTTCAATTACACAAAGTATTGTTTGGGTATCATTATTATTAGATGAAAATACATGGAAACGATGGAATACACTTAGAAAAACACTAGGATATAATTTAAATATTCGACCACTTCTTATTCTTCAAAATAAAGAAATAGAATATAATTTATTAAGTATATGGAGAGCAGAAAATGTAAGTGGAGTGGTAATAAATAAATCATTAATAAATGAATATGGAAAAATACCAAGAAGTTTAGAAATATTTATTCAAAGTTTAATGGATTTTGATATTGCTATTATTTTAAAAGGATATTGTTGTCATGTAAAAGAAATGCAAAGAGATGTAAAATACTTTGAATGGTTAAAAGAGTTAAGAATGAAAATTTCTCGATATGAAGAAACAACAATACCATATAGAGATCAAATAGAAATTCCAATTCAACCATTATCAGAAAATTTAGAGTCAATAGTTTATGAGTCTTTTGAAAAAGAACCATTTAAATATGAAAAATATAGAGAAGCAATTATTATGGCAATTCAAGATAAATCAGATGTTTTTAGTAAATCAACACCATTAAATCCGTTTAAAATTGTAATTGCAGGAGCAGGAAGAGGACCATTAGTTGCAATAACACTTGAAATATGTAAAAATTTTAGAATTGAACATAAAACAATAATTTATGCAATTGAAAAGAATCCAAATGCAATTGCAACATTAAAATTTAGAAAGAATAAAGAATATTGGAATAATGTTAAAATTATTTTTGATGATATGAGAAATGTTCATATGGAAAAACAAATTGATATTGTTATAAGTGAATTATTAGGTAGTTTTGGTGATAATGAATTAGCTCCTGAATGTCTTGATTGTTTACTTCCTCAAATATTAAAAGATGATGGAATATCTATTCCTTATAGATATACTAATTATATTCAACCAATATCTTCTGCATTATTATTTACTAAAATGATTGTTGAACAACATTCATTTGAATTACCTTGTGTTTGTAATCATTATCATTATCAACCTTTATCCTCTCCTCAACAATGTTTTAGATTTGAACATCCAACATCCCAAATAAATCATTCTCGTTATATAACATTATCTTTTCCAATGAATTATGATGCTGTTATTCATGGGTTTTCAGGTACTTTTAATGTAGATCTTTATAAAACAGTTAAATTAAGTATTGTTCCAAATGAACATTCACCTGAAATGTATTCATGGTTTCCTTTATTCTTTCCTTTAATTTCTCCTATTGAAGTAAAAAGAGGAGATATTTTAGAACTAAAATTATGGAGATGTGAAACTAAATTTAGTGTATGGTATGAGTGGTTAGTTACATCACCTGTCCTTTCTCGTCTTCATAATGCAGGTGGTAAATATTCAATGAGTCTTCAATGTTCTCATTAATTCAATATTTTTTACAATTTATTTATGTTATATATATCAAAATAATAAGAAATAAAGAATTATTAAGTTGAAATACAAAAACGTCAATCTAAAAAAGAACTAAAATTAAAAAAAAAACAGTTCTGACGTCACATCTCATAAAAGAGTTAGAGGCGATTAAAATGGATAATGAAATAGTTTGGTAGTGAAAAAGAGGATTAGAAGCTTCTCTTCATTATTTAAAGAAAGAATCAAAACTAAAAAATATCAAAGTAAAACAAATGGACGCTAAAGCTCTTGCAGGTATTGCTGATGCAAAACTTAAACATACTGAAACAGTTGATAAGAGTGCACCAGTTATTGAAAATGTTGAAATTAAGAAAGGTGATAGAAATGAACTTCTTAGTGGAATTAAAGAAGGAAAAGAATTAAAGAAAGCTGAAACTAATGATAGATCAGCTCCAGTTATTCCAGCTGATGCTAAAGTTCAAGAAAACAATAGAGGTGCACTTCTTGCTGATATTCAAGCAAAAGCCAAATAAAAGGTTTTAAATCAATTCAATCGTTTTCTTCAAGTTAAAAGAAACTTTCATTTTTCTATTTTATAATTTTTAAATAAAAATTATAAAAGAAAATTAAAATTATTTTTTATTCTTTCATTTTATTTTATTCTTTCATTTTTTATTGTTTTTTTTTTAATAACATTAAAGTAATTAAGACAAATTCATTTATTTTAATGTTTTGCACATTCATCATAAACATCAGAATATCCAAGTTCATACATTTTTAATTTAGAATCTTCAAAAGTATCTAATGAACTATCTAATGAATGAGCATATTTTCTAATAGTAGTTTTAAATAAATCATAACTTCCATACATTTTATCTAAACATTCTGTTATTAATGGATTTTTAATAGAAAGAATTAATTGAATAACATTCATTCCATGTCTCGTAGGTTCAATTAAAGTTAATAATCCATAACAATAAGCTTCTGGTAAAGGTTTATTAATTGAAGACCTATTAAATTCAGAATAAATTGAAAGTAAAGAAAAGATAGCTTTTTTATCATTAGAAGTTAAAATCATTTTAAAAAGGTCTAAATACATTTCTTCTTCATCACAAGCAAAACATTTTTTGATAATAAAAACGAGTTTTAAAAACATTCCATTATATAATTCTTTAATAATTTTTGAACCACCATCAGTAGTTAAAACCCATCTCATAATTTGATTGTCTTGGTCAATATCTTGAATAGTTGGATGAGAAATACTTATTAAATGATAAAATAATTTTTCTAGACCTTCTTCAATTGTTGAACGTGACATTAAATTAAGTAATGATAATGATTTAGTTGCATAAATAATAATAATTCTTCTAAATGAATTAATTTCAACATCATCCCCTTCACAAAAAACATTTAAATAAGTAATAAATTCTTTTAAATGAATTGAAGGAGAAGGATAAAACATTGAATAAAAAGAAGATACATAATGAACTATAACATCAATAAATCTAAAATCAATATGTTTAACAGATTTATGATAATTTAAAAACATTTGAAGAACAGTTTTTCTAACAATATCAGATTCTGAAGTTAATAATTTAATCATTTTAGTAACAATTTGATAATTAGTAATATCAAACATATAATTTTTAAGATAATGTAATATTCTAATATCTTGTAACTTTAAATTACTTTGTAATGAAAATGAAAAGAATTTATCTACCATTAAATTTGGAAGAGGAATATCAAATGGATGAGTTTCTTCAACAAAATGAAAGATTTGATTAATATTTTTATTAAGTTTTGATTGTTTTTGATAAATAAGAATATAAGCAGTACTAATATATTCATTTTTATCTTTTTTACCAAAACATTTTTGTTGAATATTAAAATTATACCATGAAATTTTTTCTACTTTATCATCATTAAAATAAATCCAATCAATGTTATTTTCTGGATTTAATACATAACTAATATAATGTCCAATATTTACAGTTCCAAAATGAACTATAATTCCTTTTAATATATAATTTTCTTTTTCTCCATTATTTAATGGTAATTTAATTGAATATCCAAAACTTATTTCATCATTATTTTTCCATTGTGTTTTATTACTATCATATAATGATCTTTGAAATTGAATTTGAAGATAATCTGGATATTCTTCAATTGTTTGTAATTCATCATTTCTTTCAATAATATATTCTTCAATTGATTTTACACCAAAAGGAATAATTAAAAATAAATGTTTATCTTTTTGAATACCTTCTGATGTTTTGTTTTTAGTTTGAAATATAAAATGTTTTTCTAATTGTTTAAATTCTTCTTCAGGTAATTCTTTTTCTAAAACGTCCCATAATAACATCATAAATTCACTTACATCATTAAATTCATTTAATTCCATTTTGGTATATTTTTGTAATTCTAACAGAAGGTTTTCTATTTTAAAGTCTTCTCCATTCTTTGTAAAATATTTTAATGCTGAAATTAATAATAAAATTACTCTACTTTTACATGAAGTTTGTCTTAATATTGTTTGAAATTCTTCAATAGATAATAATTGTACTAAAACACTTGTCATATAACATAATTTGGATGGATTATAAAACCCTGAAAAATCAAATTCATTTATTCCTTCATATGAAATTGTATTATTAATTTTCACTATTTCATTTATATTATGAATTGTTTTTAATGATGTTAATAATATCCATCTTCTTCTTGTTGAAATTGTTTGATTAATATATTCAATAACTTCATTTGGATTAGGAGAATAATATTGAATAATTGAATAATAATAATCTAATTCATTAAATTGTTTTAATTCTTTTTGTCTTTGTATATTATCTTTAAATAAATTAAAAATATTTTTACATTGTTCAATAATATATGGTGTTGGATTTTGATTAAGAAGCATAGATACTAAAACAATGTCTTTCATTTTTATTACTTCATTTATAAATTCATGATTATCTTTATATAATTTAACTGCATTAAAACAAAATGAATGTTTTTCATTTCCTTGTAATTTATTAACAATTTTATTTACCCATTTCCATAATTCATTTGGAATAACACAATGTAATTCTGGTGTAATAAATAATTGTTGAATAAATTTCATTCCATTTTCATTATTAATTTCTTCACATTTTGTTTCAATAATAGTTTTACAAATATCATTTGATAATAATGTAAGTAATTTACAATAAACTTCTAAAGTATCTTTATTATTAATATCATTAATATCAAATAAAAGAAGTTCTTCATGTAATAATTCAATATCATTTTGTTGTTTATAATAATTATAATATTTATATGGAATATAATTTGGTTCAAATTTTTGTTTTATAAAAGGAAGAACTTCTAATATTTGTAATTTACCATTAATATTTCCATTAATTAATTGTGTTACATCATTTTCTATTTTAGTTATATCAATAAATTTTATTGTATTTGTTATTGTAGTTTCATATTCTACATTTTCATCTATCATTATTTCATCTCCTTCTTTTAATCCAACATCTTCTAATGCTGTATTTTTTGGTATAACATCTCCAAATGCAATTATAACTCCATTTTTATTTAATTGTTGTATTAATTCTTCTGCAGTTTGACGACAATAAACAATAATAAAATTATTATTATATTTTAATTGCATTCTTCTTGGATTTAATTGTTGATTAAAAGGAATTAATCTTTCTAATATAAAACGAATACTTTCAACTAAATCAATTTGATAATTTAATTTTTTTGATAATACTTCAAAACAACATTGAATAATTTCATTTAAAGGAGTTTTTTCTTCAACAACGATATGAATAATATATTTTCTTAAGTCATGAAGATGGTTATATCTTGATAATTCTAATGCAATTTTTATTTTTTCTATATCTTTCATTTTAGGATTATTTGCTTGTAAAACAGAAATAATAATATCTTGAACACGTTCACATACTGGTGGCATATTATTTAATATTGATCTTCTTAATGTATTTAGAACATTATCATCTAAACATTCTGAAAATAAATTATCTGCTGCTGTTTCTGCAACAAAATCATTTCCAATATTCATTAAATCAATAAAATAATGAATATTATTTTGATCTTTTCTTAATATTGAACATCCAATTTGAATAATTAATTTATTATTACTTTGTATAATACAATTTTTTATACAATTCTTTTCTTCTTCATTAAGACTTTCAAATTCCCATTTTGATAATAATTTTAATAATTGAATTATTTTATTTTCATTTCCTTTTTCTTTTATAATATCATTACATATTTCTTTAATACTTTCTTCTGTTAAATTAATATTAAATTGATCATATAATTCATAGTTTATTTCAATTTCTTTAATTATATTTTTTATTATATACCTTTGTATTTGTGGTATTTTTATTAATTCTTCATATATTTCTTTATTTCCTTCATTTATTCTATTTCTTTCTATTACGTTTTCTATTTCCTCTAATTCTTCTTCTTTAATTTCTTTTTCTTTTATTTCTCTTTTTATTTCTTTACTTTCTTCTCTATTCCTTTTTTTAATACTTTCTTCAATTCTTTCAACAATGTTTTTATTATCTTTTTCTTTACTTTCTTCTTTGAAATTACTTTTGTCCATTTATTCTTTTGATTTTTTAGTTATTGTAATGAACTAAATATTATTTTTTTCCTTTTTTTTTTGGTAGTATCTAATAATTTGTTATATATATTTCTTTTGTTTTTATTTTTGTTTTTTTCTTTAAAAACAAAAAATAAATAATTCATTATTAAAAAACATGTTTTTAATCATATGGATTTATACCTCCAGTAGTTCCTATTGTAGTTCCTCCTGGAAGCAACATGCCTGCTTGTGTACTCCAAGAACCTGCCATTGATCCATCTGATGTCGAACCTGGTAAAGTAATATTACTACCAGCATATGAAGTAGCTTGTTGTTGATCAATTTTCATACTTTGTGCTACTAAAAAGTCTTCAGCACGAGGTGATAAAGTTTCCATTCCTTTATTTGAGAAAACATCACCAGTTTGTCTTCTTTGTTTCTTATGTTCTTCTTTTTTCGAATGTTCTTTAAACAAAGACCTATTCTTCATAACTTCTTGTTGAATTGTAGATGAACCAATTCCTTGATATAAAATATTTCCTTTATTTTCTTCTAATAACCTTCTTTTCTTTTCTTCTTCTTGTTGATTTATACGAATTAATGCAGGTGGTGTCATTGGTTGTAAAAAGAATGGATTAGAATTAAGGATATTTAATACAATTCCTTTACTTAATCCATCAGCATAAACTTGATAATATGTTGTAGCATTATATCCCATAGTTCGTAACTTTTGTGCTGCAGCTGGATTTGGTGCAATTTTTTGTAATACTTCTTCAGTAGTAAGTTGAGTTCCTGGTGGGAATGATCTTAATGGTTCTGTAGTAGGTGGAAGAGTATAATTACTTGGTAATGGAGTTTTAGTAATAAAAGGATGTTGTAAAGCTTGGTCAGGTCTCATTCTAACTTCAGGATCCCATTGAAGTGCACGTTTAAGAAAATCTAAAAACGCAACTCTCATTTCCAATTTATGAGGCTCATCAGAAGAAGAAACTCTAAAAGCAACTTTCATAGCAATATCGTCTAATGTTTTATATGTAAAATATTCTCTATTAGGTTCAGTATAAATATTATTATCTTCTTCAAATTCTCTTTTACTTTTAAATGCCCAAACGTCATCTTTATTTTTCATTTCTGATGGTCTTTTTCTTCTAAAAAATTTAGAAGTTTTACTTCCTTTATCTAATAAATTTCTTGGAGGCATTCCTAACATATTAATAAATTTAAATAACATGTTATATTCACTGTTTCCTGGAAATATTGGTATTCCAACAAATAACTCTGCTGCCATACATCCAAATGACCACATATCAATTGCACTAGAATAAGGTAATCCTAATATAACTTCTGGTGATCTATAATGTCTTGATTGAATATAAGAATATAACGTACTATTTTCAAAACACGCTGAACCAAAATCTATTAATTTAATGTTCCTTGATACATCAATTAATAATACATTTTCTGGTTTAAGATCACAATGAATAATTCCATTTCTAAATAATATAACAAGTGCTTCTAATAATTGTTTAAGAATTGATCGTGCTAATTGAACAAATAAAGCACGACAATTATTTTGTTTCATTAATTCATATAAATTAATTGATAATAATTCTGTTACAATACAAACATGATTATGAAATACAAAATGGTCTAAAAGACGAAGAGTATGTCCACTTCCATCAACATCAAATTTTTCATTTAATACTTGTAATACTGCTATTTCTAACATGGCTTGTCTATAATAAGCTGGTCTATTCTTTAATACTTTAATTGCAACAAATGTTTTATTTACTTCATCAAAACATTTTACAACTTGTCCAAATGCTCCTTGTCCTAATAAACAAAGAACTCTATATCTTGTTCCTTGTTTTTTTCCATATGAAACTACTCCTGGAACTCCAGTTCCAATAACTTCATCTGTATAAAGAATATAATCATATTTACAATTATCATGATAGTCATTATGTGCTGGTGTTGATGGTGATGTTAGTGCTCTCTTTGTAATAATAGAAGAAAAATCGAAGTTTGGATTACATCTTTTTAGTACATCAATATAAGTAATAGTCGCTTGTCGTACTGAAGATTCCTATTTTAAATAAGTTTTTTTTTATTTAAAAATTAACTATTCTTTCTTAAAACAAACAAAATCAATCCCTGGTGACATTGATCGATTTTCTTTAGTAAATGGAGTAAAGAAACTATCTTGTGAACAAAGGTAATTCATACGATAATCAGATTTAATAAATCTTTTTCTATGATGGTGGGTTGTTGTTGACATTAATGTCTTGTTAAATCTTTATCTCTTTTGAGTTCATTGTTCTTTGTTTCTCTTCTAGAATCTGAATCTTCGATTCTTTCAATAGAAAATTCAATTGTTTCACGTTTTTTTCATTTTTTCTCTTTTTTTTTATTTTCTCTTTTTTTTTTCTAGATTTTATTCTATTTTAAATCCTTTATTTCGGGATTTTTACCTAATTCTCTTTCAGAAAAAAAATATATAAATAGATTCGTATAAAAAAATTTTGAAACAACTATAAATAGTTTATTAACAAGTTAATAACAAAATTAATAATTAAAAAGATGAGATGTTGATGATGACAACTTAGTTATGGAGGTGAAACTTGAAATTTTAAATATAAAAATAAAGGTTTTAGTTTACAATAACACAAATTAAATAACACAATGTTTAAAGACATTATCATCATGAGTTATCGTTTATTCATGGAAAGTGTTGAAGGATATATTTCTATTAAACCTGAAGTTACTTATTTCTCTTTATTACTCTTATTAATATTAATTAGTTTATGCAGTTCATATTTTATTAGAATGAATAAACCAAAATTTGGACATCGACCACAAAAAATAATAAGTCCTTGCGCTAAAAGTTTATTATTAAAAGTTGATGAAGCTATTGCACTTATTAAACAACCATTAATAAAACCATCACCTATACATAATGGATGGAATATAACAGTACCTAAAATGGTTGATATTAGTAAATTTACTGATGATAATTATCTTTCATGGGAAACAGATAGAGAAAGAGTAAAAGAATATATTGCAAATATATCATCAGGGCTTTATATTGAACATGAAGATATTTCTATTATTCCAAGAACTATTAAACATTGTTGGAAAGCAAATGGAAAAGAAAGTATAATATCATTAGTTGAATGGAATTTTAGTTATAGAAAACGATTTAGTTTATTTAAAGAAGAAGAAGAAGGAGTTTGGATTGCTCATAAAGGTATGGGAACAGTTGGTACATGTCATGTACTATCCAAAACAGAATATCAAAAATATTTAATGAATGTTTATTCAATGAAATGTAATGGTAATTGTATTATTAGAAGTGGAGCTATTGATTCATATATTCGACTTCGTCAATTTATTCAAGTATTAATGAATACAATAAAACCAAATTCATTACAACTTTCTTTTAATCAAAGAATTAATCCATTACAATTATCTCCTACAATTAAAGTATGTTCTATTTCATTAGTTAGTACTTTTAAATTTGCAATAACTGAAAAAAATATTGCAGAAAGACAACATCGTTTATTACAAGAAAAAGTATGGAATAAAATGAGAATTGAAATAACTCATTTAAATTATCAATTTAGTTTAAATGAATTATTTAGTATTTCTATTGGAGAAACAACTTCAAAAGATATTAATCAAATTGGTTTATATCAATTAATTGATTGGTTTAAGAAAGATATTCATTGTAAAGAAGATATTACTGTATTAGAACTTATTAAAATCTTATCAGGAAAAGAAAAACAACGTGCAATTTTATTACGTTCAATTCTTGATGGACATGAAAAATTAATAATTCAAAGTAGAATTCAAGAATTATTAATTCTTTGTCTTTATTTATTATTATCAAATATTGTTATTTGTATTAATTGTAAAAGTGGATGTGATAGAACAGGTATGGTTTTTGCACTTGCGTCTTCACTTTGTCAAATACTTGAAACAAGAGAAGAATATTTAGAAGATATTGTTTATGTTATTCTTCATTTTGATGCTATTGGAAAAGAAATAAAAAATGATTTTGATACTTCTTTAAATAAAAAAGAAATGAGTATTAACGAACAACGTGAATTGTGGAATCAATTTATTATCAATAAAGCAGCTAATTCATACTCAATAAATGACAAAGCAAAATATCATTTAATATTTATTGAATTACAAAATTGTATATTTGGTAATTTAATTGAAGTTGGATTACCAATAACAGTGTTGTCAACTGGAGTCTGTGGATTTAAATATGGCAAAGAAAGTTCATTTTTTAAAAATCCACATATTTCAAATGGACTACCATTTTATATTATTAGTGGAAATAAATCATTTTCTCAAGTTACTTTTAGAAAATTATTAGTTGGAGCAAGTAATTTACGTGGAGGTTCTGATTAATATTTTATTCTATTAATACTCTTATTAAAAATAAAAGTTAAATTATAAATTCTTATTAAACAAGTGTTGGAATCTACTTGTTAAATTGTTCATCATTTTTTCAAATTGTTCAATGTTTTGGTCTAACATCTTAATCTTATTTTGTTCTTCTTCTATACTTTTATTTAAAACATCTAACAACTTTTTAATAGACTCTTCATTATTCATTAAAGCTGATGTTGTGCATTTCAATAGTTCTTCAGTTTGATCATTAAATTCTGTAATGGTCATTGGTTTTTCATTTGTCTCTGGTGATTGGGTCATTACTTTCTTGAATCAATTTCAAGTTTTATCTCATGAGATTGTATAATGAATTGATTCAATCTTTTCATAAAAGAAAAAAAAATTCACAAATAAAATAGAAATTTAAATTTTTCGTGATCAGAACATATCCTCATCAAATACTTGTTCATTGTCTTCTTCATCTTCTTCAATACTTTCACTCATCTCTTCTAAATCATCCTCATATTCTTTTTTTGTTTTCTTAGAACTTCCTTTTGTTTCTTTAATCACAGGAGTTGTTGCTTGTTTTAGCTCTTTTGTGAATTTAGTTTTGTTTGCTGTTGATACACTTTTAAATAATTCTACTTTCTCAAGACTTATTCCAATTTTTACCATTTCATCCCAAATTTCTTTCTCAAGTCCAAATTTTAATGCAACAGCAACAGCTTGTTTAACATCAATAGACATTAACCTTATAATAGTATTTCTTATATACATCATAGGAATAGCTGCATATCCTCTTGAGTCCATAAATTTCCCTGGTGTTTTATTTGTTAACATTAATAACCTTGTTTGATTTCCTCCTCGTTTACTTATTTTACCTAATGTTTTTGGAAACATTACCTTCATTCCTGGATTTGTTGTTTGACCATAATAAGTTGAAAGACAAACTTTAAATATTCCTGTAATTGGCATTAATTTCCAATTTTGAGTTTTATTAACTACATTTTGGAAAATATCACCAATTGCAAATGAACCAAATGATTTAGATAATGCAGAAAACTTTTGAGCACGTAATAATGAATCATGTAAATAAATTGGCATCATAAAATTATCCATAAAGAAAATCTCATTTTTTTCAATAAAACTAGTTGAAGAATATCGAGTTATTAATGTAGGAACTATTTCAACATAATCAACATCTTCATTTTTTTCTCCTAATGTTACTCCACATTTCACAAATGATTGTAACATATTAATTCCATATCTAACATCTCCATGTGCTTTAGAAGCAATTTGATTTAAATTTTCATCACTTACATGAACACCTTCTTTATCACAAATATATTTTAAACGTTCAGTTAATTCAATAACACTAATTTTTGAAAAATTAATAGTTTCACAAACATTTATTAATGGCTGCATTTTTTTATCCATAATATCATTACAAATACATACAATTGGTTGTTCAGTTTCTTTTATATATTTAACTAATTCAGTAATTCCACCTCTATCACCAGAAGACATTCCATCAACTTCATCCATTATAATTAATGGCTTTTTATTTTTACTTCCATCAATACTTATTTGTCCATTTAAAAATATTCGTTTAATAGCTAATTCAATTGAACTTTTATTTCTTGTATCAGAAGCATTAAATTCAATTGGATTAAACCCTAAAGTTTTTCCAACAATTTTAGATACTGTTGTTTTTCCAACTCCAGGAGCACCAGCAAGTAATACAGCTCTTCTATCTGGAATAACCTTTTCCCATTTATTAATCCAAGTATAAAATTTAGCAATTTGATTTTTATTTCCAATAAGATCACTTTTTGTTTGGGGTCTATATTTCTCTGTCCAAATAATTTCATTTGAATTAATAACAGTAGTGTTTTCATCTACATTAGTTGGTTGTTGTTTTTGATTATTTGTTTGATTAGGTATGCTCGTTGTTATTACGTTATTTCCTAATTTTTGTTTTACATAATTAAATACATCATCTTCGCTCCATATAGGAATTCCTTTTTCTTTTGCTTTTTCAATTTTTGATGGTCCAGCTTCTTCACCAGCTATCAAAACAGCAGTTTTTCCGCTGATACTTGTTGCAACATTTCCACCAAAACTAATAATATACTCTTTCATTTCATCTCTATCTAATTCATCATATACACCTGTTAATACAAAATTTTTCTTTTGAAATTCATTTTCTCCAAAGAAATTTCCAACTCCTCTTGGAATAATTTTTGATCCTTTATTTTTTGCTGTAGTATCATGACTAAAAGCATTGAAGTGGGTTTTTTTCGATTCAATTGGTTTAGATGTTTTCTTTTGTTTATTAGGTTCAATAGTTGTTTTTTTAACAATAACATTTATCGAAATTTTTGTTTCTGTCTTTGTATCATATTGTTCTTCAATGCTATCAAGTTGTTCATTAGTTTCTTGTTCTTTTGTAACTGATTTTATTTGTTTGTTTATTTTCTTTTTACTAGTTTTTGATGATGGCATTTTAGGTTTTTTAACCTCTTTATCATTATTTTGAACTTTACTTTCTTTTTTTTCTGAGCTCAGTTGAATCGAAGTAGGTGGAGATCCCATTTTTTCATGTGAAGAGGATGAAAGAACTTTTGCTCCATCTTTTATTTTTGGTTTTGTTTTTGAAACAAACCACTTGTCCTGAATATATTAATGTCTTTTCATATTAAAATAAGGTATCCTCAAACAAACAAGACTCATTTGAGAATTGAGTTTTTCTTCAGTTTCTTAGATAAAAACAAAAATAATTTTTTCTTTGGGATAATACTCTAATCAATTTTTTTGTTATTTGATTAATTTTTTGATAATGCCAAAGGCGTATTACTTTATAAATTTTTCAAGTACCAAATAACACTATTTTATTATACTGTTTTTTGAATTGTTTTAAAGTTTTAAAAGTATGTAACATCATTTAAAAACCTGAAAATAATAAAAATAATAAAATGAAATTAAACAATTTATTAATTTAAAGGGAAAAAACTAATTTTGTTTAAATAATGCAATCTGATAGACAGTTATCTCCTACCAATACTCCAATGGGTGAGGAACAAATTACAAAAGAAATAATTAATGAAGAGTCAAATAGTCAAAAGACTAAGGAAGAAGAATTAAATCATACAAAAATTATGGAAGAACAACAAAATACTAACCAGACAGAAATCCCCCAAGTCACATCTGTAGATAATAATAACACAACTCAACTAGAAAATGACCTAACAAAAGGAGAAATAATAGAAACAGACAGAAGTATACAAGAAAAGAAAAAACCAACTATTAACGAAGAAGAATTATTACAACAAGAAGAAACTAAAGAAAAACGTCAAGTAGAAATTGAGAATGAAACTGTTAAAAAGCCTCATACAACAAATAAAGAAATTAAAACAACAACTTCTTTTACTAAACAAAATAAAAAAGAAACAAAAGTAGAAAAAAGTTTTAAAATATTATTATTCTTTAAAAATGAATATGGAGGAATTTCCTCTCGACAGTCATATTTTTCTTTAGGTAATAAAATAAAAAAATTACTTAATACTAAAAATGTAAAACCATATCAAACCAAAGATTCTTGGGGAATTGATGACTTTTATCATTCATTAATGGATTTAACAATAGAATCAAGATTTAATGTAATGGAAAGTAGACATGATTATGTTCAATGGATATTTCCTACATTTGTTAAATCAATGTTTAATTGGAATAGTTATACCCTTGATAAGGAAGAAGCAAATTATTTTAGACAAGATAACCAAATAACACTTAAATTTATTAGAATGTATCGTTTATTTATCAATTTCTTAGGTGGGGATATTGTTGATCTTTCAACAGGAAAAATATCACCACTACCTGATGAAAAAATTAGAAAAGAACGTTTTAAAAATTTTAATTGGAGTGGTCATAATTACCTTAGAGTTACTAGAATCTTTAATTCGCTTCATGCATTTGGTCTTAAACCTTATATGGAATCTTTATTTTCTTTCTTTAAAGAAAATATTCAACATTTTAAGAATTGTCGTGACTCAATGGACAATTATTGGGTAAAAGCACTAAATGCAGATAGAGACATTAATAAAGAACCAGTTGACTTTGAATATTCTGATAATTCTATATTTACATTAATTAACAAAACAATAGAAGAATCAAAGAGTAAAGAAACTGATTTGGTAATGAAAAAATTAGAAACTACACTTTCAATAACTTATTAATTTTGATTTTTAAGTTCATATTTTGAGAAACTATTCAAGTTTTAAAGAAAGAATTTAATTTAATTTGCAGACTAAAACACAAATATTGTCAGTTGAACCTGATACAAAAGCTACATCACAAAGCAATGCTGAAAGCTCTGCAGTTCTAGAACTTTTCTTTTTATTTAATAATGAAACAATATCATTATTACTGACTTGATCCCAAAGACCATCAGAAGCAACAATTAAAAATTGTTCATTTTCAGTTCTATCACAAACAACAAATTCTGGTAAGTCTGAAATGACTGGTTTAAGATTAATATCACCAATTGAACGTGATACTATATATTCACCAAAAACTCTTCCACGTTCAGTATATCCACCACATTCTTTAATTCTTTTAAATTCTTGAGGATTAGATGGAGTATGTTCTTCACATAACTGAGTTACTTTTTTTTCAGTTATATAAATTGCTCTACAATCTCCACATTGTGCTACATAAATATGTGAAGGAGTAAGAAATGTAACAGTAACAACTGCACCATCAGTAACTTTTGCTTCTTTTAATTGGTTTTGCATTTCTTTAAATGCTTGGAAAAATGCTGTTTTTATATTTTGTGTTTTCAAGAAGTTGTAAAGAATTTGTGGAAATTTAGTAGCAAAAGTATTTGATACAACACTTCCAAGATGACCATCAATAGCAGCAAATAAGAAAAAGTCTGGAGCAGTAAAATTCGGAATGCAAATAATTGAATCTTGCATTTCTACTCTATTAGAACATTTAGAACAAAAAGAAAATGAAGGGGGTATAGTACTAAACTCTTCTAGTTTTAAGAAATTTGGTAAGAATGGATATTGTGTGGCTTGCCAATTTGGATTTCCATCAAGACGTAATGCAAATTTTCTTTGACCAATATTTGGACTAACAGAAAGATTATTACAACTTAAATCTAATACAGACAATGATGGAAATTCGTTAGGGTGAAGAACAAAATTAGTTAATCCATTAGATGAAAGATCAAGTATTTGGAGTGATGGTAAAGGAAGACGAGTATCAGGTATTTCTCCTAAAGCATTATGAGAGAGTTTCAGTCTTTTTAAATTTGTTGTACATGGGAAATTGATAGAAGTAAGACGATTACATGAAATGTCTAATGAAATTAATGAACCATTTGTAAATTCTGGGAAATTACTTAATGAATTCATTGATAATGATAGACGTTGAAGTTTTGGTAATTTTGAAAGAATAGTAGGAAAGTCAATGAATGAATTATTGGCAAGATGAAGTAAAGTCAATTGTGTAAGTGTTGATACATCATTTGGAATTTGACTTATCTGATTTCCTGATAATAATAAAACTTGAATATGTTGTAATGATCTTGAAGGGGGAAATGAAGTGAGTTGATTATAAGAAGCATTTAATTTAGTTAAACGAGAACAATGATCAAAAATAGGTGGGATAGAAGTAAGTCCATTAAAACTAACATCAATAGATTTTAAGTATTTTAATTCTAGAGGTATATCAGGGATTGTAATAATTTTATTTTTACTAATATCACATAATTGAAGATTAGTAATTTCCATTAATTTCAAAGGAAAATGGTCAAAATCATTGTTTTTTAAATAAATATTTCCTATTTGTGGTGTTCCTTCTGGGTTGAATGTGTTAATAATATTATTAGATACATTAAAACTATCAGTACTTAAGGGTAAATGATCAATCTCTGAGATTTTGTTATTACTTAGATTTAAGTCTCTCATTTCATGAATCTGACATATTCCATTAGGCATTTCACTAAGTTTAATGTCATTCATAAGTAATGTTTGTAATTTAATAAGATTATCTAAAGGTTCATTGAATGAGTCAACTAATGTATTTGTTAATGAAATAAATCGTAGTGATTTTAATTTAAAAAATCCAGTTGGTAATGTTTTGATAGGATTTGAAGCTGCGTTGAAAAAAGACAAACAGGTTAATTGAGTGATAGATTCAGGAATAACCTCAATATTATTATTTGAAATATTAATACTTTCTAATTTAGATAAGCAACCAACAAAAGGTAAGGAAGTAATTTTATTACATTCCAAGTTAATATATATTAAATTATTCAATCCAGTAAGTCCTTCTATTTGAGACAAATTATTTTGACTTAAATCTAAATGAGTTAGTAATGAGAAATTACATCCTAAAGGTATTTCTGTGATTTCATTTGATCCAAGATTAAGTTCTTTTAATGAACCTAAAGTATAAGGCAAAGTACGTATTTTATTTGCGAATAAAGACAGTTGATATAATTTAGTTAATGTTGATAAACAAGTTGGAATTTCTACAATATAATTTCTACACAAATCTAATTTAAGTAACGACGGTATTTCTGTTAGTGTTTCTAATGAACTGATTTGGTTTGAGTCAGCATTAATGTGAGTTAATCTTGTTAAATTCTTCAGAGATTTAGGAAAATTTTGTAAATCATTTCCAGAAATATTTAGGTCTTCAACAAGAGTATTTATAGTGATGTCTGAGTCAGAAATAACTTTTAAATGAAGACCTTGAAGTTCCAAGTAATTCATAAATTGAAGTATTACAGTTCATTTCTTTTCTATGAAATTTTTATTTTTTTCTTTTTTAATAAGAAGAATGAAAAAAAAAACAGACATTTAAAAATTGTTTTATTTTTTGTCAGTTAATTCGGTAACAGTTTGTGGATTTGTAATGATAGAAAGTGTAGAATAAAAGTTAGTTTTTGAAGATCCCTTATTTTTGTCTATAATATCTTGAATAAGTGTTGTTCTTCTTAAATATGGTTTTAAATAATCATCTGGTGATATATTTAAACTACAACAATAACTAGCGTTAATAGCTGTTTCTCTTACTAAATTAGGAAGAACTTCTTTTCCAACAATCATCCCATCAATTAATGGACCAAATTGTCTAATATTTTGTTTTCTCCAAATTCTAATTTTATGTAAACCATTTCCAATTGGTTTAATAACAATATGTGCAGCATTAAATTGAGATGAAATAGTCTTAGGACTGTATGTGTCTGCTTCATTCCAAATAATATGAACATAGTCATTTCCAACATGTCGTTTCTTAATTATTTGTTGATCATCATTAAGAACTGTTGGCATTAGAGTAATATCATGAAAAATAACTTCTTTTGT